GAATTACTGCTGCAGTTTAAGAAAAGATACACTTCCTGATTCATGATCTGATCTCTTCTTGCAGCTGCTGGAATTCAAATGAGGACACTAATGCAAGAAAGCTACTTCAGACTCCATCAGATTCTGCTCTGTCCACAAGCTCTCTGCCAACAATGGAACAAGACTTGCTTGTATGTGGAGATGTGAGTGAAGTTTGCAAGTTGTTGCAACAAATGCCTGTCACTGTAACAAATAATTGCCAGGGACATATCCAAGACATGAAAATAGGTTTTAAGACTCTAGAATTACATTAGACTGGCAGCGTACAAAAATACAAACAAACCAGCAACTGACAACATTCTATATTTTGTTTCTTGGTTTACGCTTTTGTGGTGGCCAAGAAAATGGGTATCCTGGATGCTAAAGGAAAAGCCAACTTCCTGCAACAGAAACAATTTGCAAGAAAAAAGAAGTAAGGTTGCTGTTTATAGGGTTATACATACATGCTCTAGGAGACAACGAATAATTTGTGTTTCACAAGCACCACTCAAATGCACTAAAAGAGCTCAGGCTAAACTACAGGCATGAGTGTCCTGAAAAGCCAATTCTCATGGTATTTTTATTTTGCATAATTTTTCCTTTTTTTTTCAGTCCTGAGCCTGGCTGGGAACTAATACATTCTTGAGGCCAACTTTTGGAGAATGAGCTATCTAGTCAGGTTTACTGTGAAGCTGACAGCCCTAAACTGGGACAAGGAAAGTGAACTCAGTGAGTGTTAAAGAGTCTGCTTCTCATGGTCAAATCACCACAAAGTCTTCAAACCATGGTATAGAGTAAGAATTAAAAGCATTCAATAACCACTGCCCTGACTGAAAATTGAAAGTTTCATTACAGGAACCAACAAGCCTAAGATTGAAATTCATGTAGAAATGGAAGATGGCTCAGTGATCACACACACAAACTGTTTATAACACAAAATAAGGGAATGAAGTTTGCTTCTGAAAGCCAGGTAGCCACCACAGTGATCATTTTTTGGAATGTGAGGCAGCAATACAGTACTAGAGCAGATTTGGAGACTGAAGTCTAGGAGGGGGAATGAGCAAGGGCATGCTAAGCCTGTAAGATTTAGCACACCCTTTAAGTTTAGGCCACCAACATAGTCTGCTTTAATTAAGCTCCTATTCTAGAAATTTAGATGAAACTAAAAATAGAACTGTATGCAAAAGGCCCCACCATGCCTATCTCACTCCCTTGAGTACCGTATTAAGAAATTACAGAAAGAAAAACCTATGTACATTACTCCTGGTTCTCTTGATAGATCAATTCCAAATGAGGGCTGCATTAAGAGCATACAGAGGTTTAATTTAAAGCTAAAACTATGTTTAGCTTTCCCAACTACACCAGAATTTTTGACAGTACTTGCTGCATTACTTTGCATTAACTGACATACATGTGTATTTATTTATTTTTACATTAACTGGAGATTTCAGTAGAAATGAAGATATAACTTACTGCAGTTAATACTCTCCTTCCTACCAAGTTTTCTAATCATCACCTTGGTGCTGTTCCCCATACTTACACCCAGTATTCATCTACTGTTATCATCTCCAACTGCTCATATCACCATCCACAATGTGTCACGTGAAGCCAAACAAAACAAAAGAGAGTATAAAGGGAGAATGTAAATAAACAGAGATCCTCAGACTGCAAAATGAGACATGAAATTAAAAACTGAAGAAATAAAGAACAACAGAAAATATTTACAGAACAAACTGACAGCTGGGTAGCACTTTCAACAAGAATTTTAAAGTATTTAAGGTAATTATTTCACATATCTGTGCTACAACAACACAAAAGATCTTAGGACTGTTCATGCCAAACACTACAAATATCAAGACAGTTTTTATTCTAATTATATTTCGGCCTTATTACTTTTATTGTGCTTCTCCCTTCCCTTTTTCTCATCTGTTACTCTCAGTTGCTGCGTGGCCCTGGCACCCTTCAGTGAGGTATAAAAAATCCACTCCACTCTGTCTGCTCTGCAACACCATCCTCCATACCATTCTTACTTTCCAGTACGCCTGCTTTCGTCCTTTCTCCTGTCTGGCCATAATGCCTAGAAGCTGATCAGGAACATCTAAGAAATGAACGTATTATGCACTTTCAAATTCTTACAAGACTGTTAGTCCCCAAATACACACAAACTTTAATAACCTAGGTCATTAGTGTGACAAAACCAATGTTGTTCTCACACAAAGCCAGCTACACCAGGCCATACTGGGAGCCATGCCGTACCCATACCTTGTACTAAAATGAGCTGTGCTCCTTCAGAGAAGGAGAATAATCATCTTTGTGATTGCCCAGCAACTGGGAGATAAACAAGATCATATTCCAGGAGCAGTGCCATCAAGTGCTACAGTAGCACAAACAAATCTCCTAGACTAGTTTTTTTAGTAAAGGTTTTTGATGATTTCAGGCAAGTCATAGTAAGCAGAGCAAGTTGGACTTGCTCATGTAATGTATTTTGTGGACTAAATACTTTAATCTGAGTTTATTAAAAAAAGAGTAAGTAGCAAAGGCTACTACCAAACGGAACATCAAATAAACACTATTAATTATCCATTGACATTTATGAAACTTGAAAGCTCTCTTTCAGCTTGCAGATAGATGTCCAAGTTGCTTTGGGTAGTCTAAAATTTATTTTAAGTAGTACTATCAAATATAGCTGTAGTACTTCCACAGCTAGGCCCAGGCCTTGAGAAGAGATGCTAACTGACTCCGTCAGTTACACACTGGTCTTCTACAGATATGGTCTTCTTGAACTCTGTTCCCATGGCCAGGCACCAAGTAAAGAAAAAAAACTGTTAAAGACTACCTGGATCAAGCCAGGTCAAACACTACAGGCAGTAAGAAAGAACTAAAACACTACCAGACACAAATTGGTTTTTATAGACCTACTTATATATCTCTGCATTAAATTCCCCAGCTTACTTATTACAGAAGAATTTATTATTTTGAGTGCAGCATAACACTGAACTGCAAGAGATTCACATTTTTCACACTAGTGACTCAAGAGGTCACTAAAGACTTCTTGGACCTGAAAACAGGGTCTAGAGACACACATTACATCCAGCGAGGCTTCACATGTCAACTCCTACTCTTCATCAGCAAAACTAGGACTTGGCTTTGATTCTGTGAACAGTATTCCCAAGCATCCATACTATCTCATACAACAAAATAAAATTAATATCTTAGCTCATTATGCAACTAAAGCTTCACAAAGTGACTCCAAAAAAGAAGTATCACAAGGCTGAAACAAGGACAAGGTAATATATATTATCACTAACTGGAAAACTTTTTTTTAAGCAATCTCAGCAGGCAAGTTCACAAGCCTCAGCTACATACACCTCACAAACAGCCATTTAAACAACAAAACCTCGAAACCTTTTTCTCAAAGGTGTTTTCTACTTTTGTAGCGTTGCCCCCAGTGGCCTACTGAATTAGAACTTACTAGAAAGAAGCACAAAGAGCTCTAAGGTAAAGCATTCAAGGAACTATCACACACATAGCCACTTCTTCCATCACTTAAAAAATGCTAGCTTCCAAATTAAGCAGGCAGAACTACAGCTCAGGAAGAGACATGTGCATTGCTACCAATCACAGTAAGAACCTCTCCCTAACTGACAGCAGCTGGGCAATTTTTAAAAAATGTTTAAGGAACAAAAAAGCCACAGAAGGTGTTCCCAAAAATTGATAGCATAACATTACTTGAAACACTAGTTTCTATTGTCTCGACTTAAAAATAATTATGTCTCCACAGTGTGACAAACACAACCACAAATGTAAGTTTTTCATAGCAAAGAAATCTCCCAGGGGTAACCTTTGGGAACAGAACTGATAAACTCATAAACGTCCCTACAAGGCAGCAGCAGAACTGGGACACTGTTCTTTCAAAATATCTCTACACAATACTATAAGCAAAACAAAAAAAGTATGAATACTGTTTCTGACTTACAGAAGGCTTACAAAGCACTGGGAAAATGCATGAAAAACAGCAATAAGACAAAGAAAAGACAAAGGTACTGAATCTCATCTGAAGAGCTACAACACAGTTCTCTTCTCTGAACGTCTGTTTTCACAACAGGACATAAGCCCCTGCAACATGCTTGTACAGTACCTAGGGACAAGGACATTCAATCCTGACCAGAACCATGAAGTGCAAACCTTAAAGTGCAACCACAGTATATATACTACAGCACACTGGAAAGAAGTATTGCTTCTGGAGTCCTGCACAGGCAACAAGCAGCATCTCAGGTTTAAAACACACCCTCTACCAAGCACAGTGAAAGATGAAAAGCAGTGAAAGTGGGCTAGCAAAGATTTCATTAGCATGTCAGCTTTCCCAGGTGAGACTATCTGCCTCAGTAGACTTAAAAGCATGGTATCCACCTGCACCTCAACTGTTTCAAGATTCAGATGGATTCTGGGAAGCAGCAGCTGCACTCACTCATCAACTCTTGTTCTTTCCATAGGGTGACAAATTCCCAGGTACCCATTAATAATATTCCCCTTTATTCCTACTACTGTTCACCAACCAGTAGCTTTGAAAATAACTTTAAAACGGAAAGTCGATACGATATCCAAGAAAAGACTGCACTGAGGAGGTAAGCTGGTCTGCTGCACACCCTAAAAACTTGCCAAGAATTACATGGAATCTGTGAAGTCATATAGTCAAAAAACTACACTTTTAAAGGTACAAGCAAGGTCAAACTATGATCATTTGAACTCTAACTTCTGTCAAGAGAAAATGCTGTTACGGTATTTCTGTACACTGATTTGTGGACAATAAATACCACAATGCTTAACACAACCAAATACCAGAGTGCAACTCCTCATAAACAAGGAATTAAGCTATGTAAGAAGCAGCAAAATATGAGAATAAGTTCTGATACCAAAGACACCTGCTGACCAAAAGGTGATGTGAGACTATTTCAAGTAATAATAATGCACTCAATGCTTACCCATCTCTTCCCTTGCTGACAATTTTAACTTCAAAATAGTATATGCCACAGGCTGCAGGTATAGGATGTGTAGCTCGAACAGAAGCAGCATCTTTTGGAGTTTTTCCATGACCTGAAAAACAAGTGCATTCAAAACACATTAAAAATGTATTCTAAATAATTGTGGAAGATGACTCAAAGGTGCAAATACCAACTACTCAAAACAGAGGGCTTATGTAATAAGCAAACAATATACGATATTCTCATCAGCCTCATTTCTATGCCAGAATATTTTCTTCCAACATTAAGTTACATCATAGACACCTGCATTGCAACTAAGCATGCTATGAAAAGCTCTGTATGTACTACTCTGGGAAGTTCTACAATTATTTGAAGGAAAACTAGAAAAAAGCTTCACTGCAGTAACGTAATTGACAAAAGCCTAGCTGGGTTTGAAAGAACTGTATGATTTCTCAAATGCACAGGGCTTACTCATTTTTATAGACTGAAACATGATATAATACGGTTTAATCTAATGCTTAGTGTTTCTGAATCAAGTTATTTAAGATATTTAATCCTCATGTCCTTCAGAATAAACATCAGTCATTATACAGAATGTGAAGCTCATAATTCATTTCCATGTTCTGAACATTATTGATCACTACAACCTGCAACGGAGCTAATGCAGCTCCTACTCCTTTTTCTTAAAAGGTTCACTATGCATCAGCTCTGTCACAAGAAGAATGCCCAACACCAGCTCCTGTCTACTCCAGAGCCACTTCCACTCCACTAAAACTAACTCTTCTGAACGTGCTGCCCTCTTCACAGCCCCTTCTTCCAACCTGGAAGCAGGTTTGTGGCTACTTGACTTCTTTCAGTAGCAACCTGTTCAAGCAAGCTCAGTCTCTCCCATGCACATCAGAATCCCTCATTTATCATGTGAAAGTCACACACGGGGTCACAGAACAGGGTGGTTCACTTCCACTCCACTAAAACTAACTCTTCTGAACGTGCTGCCCTCTTCACAGCCCCTTCTTCCAACCTGGAAGCAGGTTTGTGGCTACTTGACTTCTTTCAGTAGCAACCTGTTCAAGCAAGCTCAGTCTCTCCCATGCACATCAGAATCCCTCATTTATCATGTGAAAGTCACACACGGGGTCACAGAACAGGCTGGTTGTTTTGGGTTTTGTTTTTTTTTAAAAAAAAAAAAGGAAAGGAAAAGAGCAAGTGGGAGTATGCTGGATCCTGGCAAGAGGTATTTCAGTAAAATGGCAACCAGGAACAGACTGTCATTGCCCTGAGAATAATTCACACAGATCCCATGCCCACTCTGTGAGATGAAAAGAGGTGGTTGTTCTGAGTGTGCTATACAAATCACTTGGGCTGCAACACTCCAGCTGTCAGCTCCAGTCCAGACAGGGAGCCTACTGCACCTGCACAGCAATGGATCTGTGTACAATGGAGAAAAACCCACCAAAACACTCCTTCCAGTGGCATTTAAATTGGAATTATTGCTCAGGCACAGATTAATCATGTCTCATGTGCAGCAAGTCAGGTTACACAGCAAAGAAGAAAGTGCAGCAGAATGACTGCACAGCCAGTCAGAAAGAGCAGGCACAGCTGACCCACAGGCCTGAACCTCTAACCACAGAGCCCTCTAGTGTAAATGCTGATAAAATAATAAATGCTTACCTGCCTGCAGAGCTAGCACCAACCTGCTCTTACCAAATGGCACATACAAAGCCAAGGAGAACTCTGTGTCACCGTGGCTGTGTCTGCATCCAGAACTTTGTGAGCCCAGCACAAATTCTTCACTCATTGACATGAGGTTTACCCTACCAAGTCTTCCCAATGTCATCAGTTCACTTCGGTGTGTTGCTACCTTAATGCAACCAGCCAGCTATCTTACTTTTCTGGGTGCAACTGCACTGCTCACTTCAGTATGTCATTACTAAACATTTTATATAAAGATCCTTCATCACTTCGCAGCTTTTACAATATTAAGCTTATTACCTACCTTCAGTGTGTTGTTTTCAGAAGCCTCACGTGAGGAATAAACATTAATTTACCTCTCCATACACAAGACACTACGTATGTTTTATTGTTCACTACTTCCATTTCCTCAGGCTGCATCAACCAAGGTAATAACTGAACATATAACCTTAGAACTTCCCTAGGTTTGTTTGATTTTCAAGTGTTGGTAGCTCACTGTTTAGTTACTGTAAATTAGATTATCATTCCTAAGCATGCAGAAATCCTTCAGCTGAAAAACACCCAAAACTTTATGGGCAGTACACTAAACTCCTGAGAGGTCCCTTAAACTCAGAGAACTCTGATTAAATGTGTTAGTCAAAGGGGGAGTGCAGGGAAAAAAAAAAAAAAAAAAGGTGTTTTCTTTTAAAATGTCCTTAGGTTTTTACTTTAAAATAGACAGCAAAGAAGTTCCCTTGGTTACTCCATGCACTTAATCTGTGTAGTTTCAGTCTGAGTCAGTCTCCTTATTTGGGCAAGTGTTCCACATAGAAGACTAAAGTAGTAGGAACTAGCCAAATATTATTGAAAATGTACATATACTACCCAGCAGACTGTTTTGTGAAATCATAATCTAAGTGTTTGGAAACAATATCAATTTAAGGTATTCTTAACACCTCTTCCTGAAAACAGCCCCCCTCTGCCACCCCCTTCCCAGCCCAGGCAGGTGTGCTGCCAGGACATACCATGAACCACCTTGATTAGCTGACTGGGCTTTCAGAAAGCCACCAGAGTTTTTTCACACAGCAGATCAGTTCCCTGATCCAGTTCACACCACAGTCACCCACAGCTGTCACACTGCAAGGAAGAGGTCGACCCAGGGGCAGAAGTAACAGGACACCTTGCTGGTACTGCCAAACACTTCATGTGGTGAAGCAACATGCCTGGCAAACTCAGTGCCCAAAACTTCCATCCCATCAGAACAGGAGACACCCTAAATTTAGAACTGCTGTCCTTTTAATGTGATCTCTTATGAATCCTGTTTTACTACTTGATTATGCTGCCTTTACTTGTAGTTACATACAGTTATTATTTCAAACAGAAAATTCAACAACATTAAGCAGTTAGCTGTTGCCAAATACTACCTCTACATTTTCTCAACGTGCTAGTTGAGACTTTCAGTACTACCAAACTACATGAGGAGTCAAGAGATACTAGCATCAGCTTTAAAACAGGAGGCTCTTTACAGAGCAGGTCCTTAAACTGCAAAATTTCCTACCAAAGGATATTATAAATGCTGGTGTTTAAGCAGATGCTGAGCAAGCTTCTAGAACAGAAATTAACTGAGAAACTCCCTTCAGCTGAGGATGTCCTTTAGCTCAAAATGGCTGGGAACTGAGAGGAGAAAACACAGATACACTATGTATGCCACACATGTTTTTAGATTTTTCTGGAAAAAAAAAAATCTCTCCCTTATGGCCACTGTCACTGATGGGACATGAAGCTGAGTGTCCCATTAGCTTGACATTATATACTGCTGCCACGTTCCTTGGTAACCTAATCCCCACTTCCTTGCTTGTGAATAAAAAGGAACTTTGACACCAGCTCTGAACTTCTGAATCAGAGGTTCTGAACGCCTGAAGTAGGTCATATGAACTCTGCCCTCTGTTCCCCAAAACAGACCTCTTTCATACTCACAAGCTATAGGTAAAGTACTTAAAAGGATACTTTTAAAGCGTGTATTGAACACTAAAAATTAATAATTTTCAGCTTTAAAAAGAGAATTCTGCAAGCACATGCACTGGAGCAGAGAAGGGAAAACAGGTTTACAGACCTTGGAACTTTACACTGTAAACCAGATCATAGGTGAGTTCAATTACCAGAACTGTTTTCAACTGGGCTTCCATTAAGTGTTTAACAACCATGAGCTGACCACACTTAGAAAGAAAAGCTTTATTTTATTCTTTAAGCAGCCATTCACACTGATGATTTTTACTAAAAGTAGCATCCCCTAGCCCTTTAGCAAAATTATATTGCAATTCATCTAAATTTAAATTCCATCCAGCCAAAAAAAAGCCAATTCAGCTAAAAGCACATTTGGAGAATCCATTTCATCTTTCTTTTTGAAAGATATCATCTTTCAAATCTGTGTAATGCACATGCACCAAATAGCCCAAAAGAAGTCTACAGGAGTGTCTACCTAGACAAAAGTAAGCATGTTTACCCAGTTTAAATCCTTAAATAAGTTTACATAAGCTGAACTGCAGTTATTTCCAACAGGTGGTTCCATGACTTGCTCACACTGCCAAAAATAAAATAATCAAGGCCTAATCTTCTGTTGAATGTATTAGGGAAGTTTCTCTGAGACAAGGAAAAAAAAAAAAAGTGTGCAAATTACTGATTTTACTTCATTTCATTCCCAGGTTTAAAAAAGCAAGACATCTCTGAACTACAGCAGTGTCCAAGACATACTCTACTGTACTGGATGTACTTCAGGTGTTTTCTGCCAGAAAAACTGACACCACCCTTGTATCAGTATTACTACAAACCCTCTTCTGCTTGTTATACAAATTGGGATGCATACTTTGCACTTTATTTTTTTTTTTTCCCAGTTTGGCACTAGAAACAGTTCAAAGGCAACTGCATTGTAAATAAATGTCTGGCTAAGACTTCCTGGCCTGCAATACATTAGAAAAAGTTCACGCCATGGCAACTCACTCAGCATTGCGTAACTTTCCTCAGCTTTTTTTGGACAATGGTCACAAGACTAACTTAAGTTGCCATAGGACTTTCCATGATTTTCCACTGATGGCTTAGTCTGTTTACCTAATTCTGCATATAGTTTCTTTCATGGTTATAGTCCACACTAGATCTGTATTTTTACCTCCTGACACTACACAGCATAGATCAGTGTTGACTGGAGACTGAATTTGTCTGTCTAGGGGAATGTTCACATTACAAAAACATTTATGGAATCCCTGTTTTTCAACAAGATCCACGTGTTAATTCTGAGTATTTTAGAAACATGTAGGAAATATTTTAAAGGTGTCTTACCTTAATAGCTACATATTTTGTATGATAACTGCTCTACATGCAGTATACACTTGTCTCAACCCCAGTGATTTCTTTACCACTTCCCTACAGCTCAGAGCTGTTAATAATACAATTAAGTGAAATGACAAACTTTTCTGAGGCTGTTTTTCATGTCTCCCTCACACAGCTACACCATGAAGAGCAGTCACTAGGACAGTGTTAGCTTCCTATCAGCTTGCACAGCTCACTGGCAGCAGCACAGAAATGTACATCTGTCCATCTAGAAAGAAAAACACCCTTGTGTATGGCTTTTAATAAATGCCAGTATCACTGATGCCAACATATATATTTCTTTTCTCCTATTTTTGACAATGCTCCCTAATCAGAAGTCAGATTTTCTAAAAGTGTAACACAATACCTCACTGCAGAAAAAAATGAGCCTATTCTAGTAAATAACACACCAGTCAATGCATCTTGCCTTCAACCACCTCCTCATGCATGTTTTTCTTTTTTAAGTAACACTGATTCTGAGAGAAAGCACAAAAGAGCACTGACCCTGAGATTGGGTTGACCCCAAGCAAAAGCAAAGAGTTGTTACCCTGGTGCTAGACTGTACTCCTTTCTTTAACACTCCACTGCTTGATCAGTGCCTGGTTTTGTGGCAGTTTTGATTTTTAAGCTCTCTCTAGGATGCTTGAAAAGAGCTTCAGGTCCAGAAATGCAGTACACAAAGCATCACAGCTGCAGTGGGTAGAAAACAGAGATCCATGGCAGCTCATGTTTCCATATAAGTCGTCCACTGGCATGAGAGAAAATGAAAGGAATCTCCAAAATTATGTAGAGAGAACCATCACTTCTCTTTCAAACAAGTAAAACAAAACCATCACTGCTCACAATGCATCAGCACATAAAAATGATGAAGCTAGTTACACGAAAAGGTGACTGTGAAAGCTTTTGCTGTGATTGTCCCTCTCTCCCATTTTCTCAGAGGCAAGTATCCCAAACACATGCAGGGTGGAAGGAGAGTGCTCATGGTACCACTTTCTGCCTCCTAGCAGTCACAGGCAGGAGGAAACAGCACCAGAAAAACAGTTCTATGGGCACATATCTACAGGGGCAGCAGAGAAAGTTTAAGTGTACAAGGGATCTGTACTACAGTGACGGGAAATAGTAAGAATTGCTCTTGATTACTGGCTTCTTCAGACAGAGCTGTCTTCTCTCCCTTCCCTGAGCATTTTGGTCAAGTACAACAGATCTTTATCCACACTCAATGTGATTCCAATTCCCTTTCAACAAAAACATCTACCATTCTTCCACAACTACTCAGACAACTTCAGAAGCACTGGAAGTGCCAATACTCCACAAGAAGATGCTTTACATGCTTTCTCCTGAGACCTCTATTTGCAACTCATTTGTAGAAAAATCATTTCACAGTGCTGAGCACATTCTTACTTGCTACCTTCCCTTATTCTCACAGCTGAACCTCCTCATTTTCTCCCCTTTTATCCTATTCTTGGGGCTGATGGATCCAGCAGGGAGAAAAGGCAGCAGATATTTTGGTTTGTTTGGGTTTTTTTTCCCCCCACCCCATCCTCAGGTAAGAATGCCCTGATACCATTCATTGCTTAGCCCAGTTAGCCACTCCAGGTGCCACACTGGGACCCTACACATGGGGCTGCCCTAACAGCCACCTTCAGTAAATGACCAGGAAGAAAAGATGGGCCACCATTTAAGAGGCTAATTACTCCCACTTGCAGTGAGGAGAAAGAAAAATGTATCCAGGTTATATAGGTACTTCTCCTTTTCACAATCCTATGGGCTAATCTATGAGCTCTTCAACCTTCATCACTAAATTTAAGGGCTAGAGTAAAGGTATTTTATTATTATTATTACCCGTTCACTGTGTTTTATGACTACTGGTAGAGTATCCCCAGTATTTCCCACATTACCTATACTTCAGAAACATGGTGAGCCTCATGTCATTTCTTAGAGAGGTAATGAAATTTTTTTTTAACAGTGGCAAAGGAGAGAAGAAAAACAGAGACAGCACAGAGAGAGGCTGAAAATATACAACAATTACACTGTCAGGCCAGAGAAGTTCCATCTCTAAATTCTACTTCATGAGCAAAAAGAGTTGGTCAAAGCAAAACAAACAGGCAGAAGGAGCTGGTGACCAGAAAGCTATGATCATCTTAGAAGGGAAAAAAAAAAAAACACCAAGTACACAAAACCAAACCAAAACCAACCCGCTGCCACTAAGCACCAGAAAATACAAAATGCTTCTAAAAATACAAGGCCATAAAACACTGAACAAAAGCCAGGAAATTCAGAGTTGAGTATTAAATAACATGTCCTTAAATCACTCAGTGCCTCCCAGAAACCTGCTCTGTAGTCATCAACCTTCTTTACTATCTTTGTCCAGTGCATTAAACTTAACATATTTAAGAGAGTATTTTGTATGTAATAATAAAGCCTCTCTATTAAAAAAAAAGTCTCTGAGGGCACATTTAATCCTTTCACGGCAGCCAAATCCTGCCATGTGTTTGTGTTGCCGTTTTCCTCCTCTGATTAAACAGTAACATATTTATCGAGTTTCACTTGAATTTCTCCACTGTAAATTCTGAGAAAGGGTGATTGCAAGGTTGTTTTTTTTTCCCCTCCCATAACATCCATTTGACTGCAGACTGACAAATGATCCAGTTCTTCACAGCCAGCTCAGAAGTGGCTTTGAATCCACAACACTTCTACTTCAGGACTTGGGCCTAGAACACCAGATGTGTCTGTGTTTTTTCAGGTCAGTGTACACTGAGGTTTCCAGGTTTCACGACACTTCATAACAATCAACACAAGTTCTCCTTCTACTGCCTCTTACTGATTTACACAAAGGCACGCTCTGATGTTTACCTTTTCTCCGAAAATCAGGAACTTTAACAATAAAACGTCTAAGCAGAAAGTTATTAAGTCACCTTTGTTAATATAAGCCCTATTACCATTCCTTCCCCCAAATCACCCTGTAGTCTGTACAATACTTAGGCAAGGCTACTACCAGCGACTTTAATTCCATTTTTCACCGTTTAAAAATAAACCGTGTTTTTCTCCGTGCTTTCCCCTCCCGTCATTTCCGTGTTTAATAGCTTAACGCTCGCTGCTCTTAAGTCCATTTAACCCTTGCTCTTCTCGAGAGAGAGGAAAAAAAAAAGCCACTTCTTTCGCTCATTACCATAAACAGGACACGTCACGCCGATTCTCCTTTATTCTCCTGCCTCAGCCCCAAACGTTCTGGTGATACCTGAATCCACGGAGGAAGTCTCGGAGTTTACATAATGCCCACTCCAGCAGCAGGAGGAGGCGGGGGCGGCCCCGGGTCCCCCCCTCCCGCATCGCGACAGAAACGGGGGGAGGGAAAAGGCGAGAAAATAAAGCCGAAATAAGGAAAACCACCACCCCTTTCTCCACGCTGCAGGCACCTAGGGGGGGGCGGGGGGCTCAGAAAAGAGAGAAGGAAAAAGAAAAGAGGGAGAGCAGCGGGTGTCGTTT